CTTCACTATCTACATCTCTTCCTATCGCTTCACTTATCCCCGGCACACTCATCTCTAACCAACTTTCTTTTTCGTCGCTCGACTTGTCTCCAAAAAGAGCGCCAAGCCGTTCGCCTTCCAAAGGTGCCACAACTCTTTCCACGTGCTCGGAACACCGGGCCGGTACGGCTTTCTGGCGTGAGTTCTCCTTCTCGTATGTCTGACGTGATCGCCCGGCCGGTTTGCATGCCGGGGTCCACTGTTTATTCTAGTACTACTATGCATATACAATATTTGGACTACATTATATTGCCCGTTGTCGATACACGTCCATTATTCCTGGGACGTCGTGGCTTCATGCCCTGCTTCATCATCCCATCTGTGTCAGATGGGTGCGTACACTTCGCCTGCGTTCACCTGCCGTCATCGTTGTGGCGGCGTGGCCACCCGACCCACGCCGTTCGCTATAGCGGCCCTTCGGGCACCAACGAAAGCCCATCACGGTAGAAGGCGAGATCGACGTGATCCCCGTAGTGTTCTCTGGGCTGACGTCGTCTTCTCTCGCGCAGTCGTTCCCTGGCTTCGTGTCGCCCTGCACGAAGCTGGGCCATGCACCACTCTTAGAAGCGGGGACACGAACGATGGCCTGTCCCGTCGGTCGCCCTCGCTCATTGCAGCACTAGTCGCCGTCTGGCGTCGGGCCAATGGAGGAAGCCCGGTGGCGAGGGCGGCAAGCGACGGTTTTCGGCCTCGAAGATCTCAGAGCGGTCGCTCGTACGGACTTTGCACACACACGCATCGACGTGCTCGTCAGGGTGGACGAGGACTTCGCCGGTGGCGACACTAAGGACGCGTATTAGATTCAAGCCTTGAGCGCACGCGTCGGGCGGGAGACGTACGGTGCCGATATCATTTTGGGGTAGCGAGAGCGCTCTATGCATTTTCGATCGCGGTGAACACATCCTCTGATGGGGCGTGTGAGCGACGTTCCCGTATTGAAGGCGGTGGCGCGTGCGTACCTCGTCTGCGTACGCGTCCTGCATACCCGCGACCGGGTTTCGTCTAGTTGCTTCGTGAACCCCGACGTTTCGCAAGTAACGCGGCGCTGCCCGACCACGAAGTCCTCGCGTATCTGACGGAACGTTCAGGCGATGGACCACGAGTCTTAGTAGTTGACATCACGCACCGTGGGCGAGAGATGAAACAAGCCCATAAGTCTTGTTCAGTAATGGCGACGAAAGTTCGTTATGATCCGACGCATACCATCCGCTGCTCGTCTTGAGCAGAGCTGCACGCTGAACCGGGTTCGTCATAGCCGACGTGGCGCGAGAGCCCATGATGGTTGGCGGCGGACGTCGCTCCGTCTAGTATTGACCCCAGACACGACGACTTCGTATCGCGAGCTATGACCCGTTCGTGAGCAACTTATGACGAGTGAGAACGGGCGGCGCGATACATACGAGTCAGAGCCAGAGAGGGGAACTAGCAACGGAGTCGAGACTGCTTATGCAGTGCCCGTAATTACAATCCAGCGCACATGCATAGAGGACGTTGTATGCGGCCACCGAAGAGTGTGGTTATAGCGCGCAGGTATTGCATGTTCAGCAGGCGCAGAGGTGCTGGCCTGCTGTAGAGCCGGAGTCGAAGGCGGGCGCGGGCGAATGTCGTTTCACATGTACGGCGCACAAGCAGTTTGCAGCCGGGCAAGAATAATTCGTATCATATTTTTCGAGAGCTGGGTCGATGGTTGTTGGAAAGTGAAGCGGCAATGTCGGCGCAGAACGCGAGGGCAGCCGTGACGGAGATGGTGGTCGTGGACAGACTCGCGCCTCGGCCTCCGCGCGAGAATACGACCGCGTACCTCCGCTCACACAAATTCGCCAGCTCGGTTCCAACGCTCACCACGCCTGTGCGCACACCCTCGCCGTCCTTACACGCTTTCACTCATTCACAGCAAGTATCCAGAAGCCGCACGCGCCACCCACACCCTCCAATATAGTCAAGGGCCGACTTCTCCGGAGACCATAAGCAACGAGTACGCCTCGGACAGGTATGCGTGTGCATTTATTGTACCTCGCGGCCCATGTATGCTCACTATATGCACTTCCTTCAGCCTGACCTAGAGCTAACCAGAGTATGCGATCAATACCCGACCACCGACGCCCTTCCCCTTCCCTCCCCAAATTCCTTAACCATCTGCGCCATACTTCGAACATTTGCTTCTTAACTACTCTACGGTGCCAGCGTGCTAGGGCTCGAGGATATCGTAGACTTATCAATGCATGTCACTACACATCAGCCTATTACTCGGCAGATGTGCCCTCGTCCGATTGGCGGATAGCGCCATACGTGCGCGTATTATGACCACTTCACACAAGAGATGCAATCCTGGCCGTGTACGCAGACAGCCGGCGTCGTCCTCCGGCGCAGATAAGCATGCAGAATGTCGAAGTCGATAGCGCGCGTCAGGATAACGTGGGGTGGGGGCAGCGAAGGTGTCGCGCTCGGCACACATGTATACAACCTGGCTGTGTTTTTATACAAGAATGTCAGCCTCGCAGAGCGCGAGCGCGAAAAATGAGCAGGCCGAGGACCGTAAATCGTGGCCTCACAGCTCTGCCTGCCATCCTCGGACGTAATGCTACGTCCAGCTCACAAAGCAAACTCATAGCAATAAAAAACTGCATTAAACCGCCCCACATCCTACCCTACCACACCAAGAGTCTACAACGTCGGCGGCGGCGCGACCTCCTTCAAATTCGCGCCCAAATTATCCGGTAACGCCAAGCTCGGGTCCACATCCGCCGCGAGCCGCCCGCCGAACATCACGGGCCCATTCGTGGCGCGGAATCGGGAGATGCGGTCCTCGATGAGCGGGCGGAAGTGGCGCATGAGGCTTTGCATGGGCCAGGCTGCGGGGTCGCAGAGGGCGCATATTGTGCAGCCCTAGAGCTGCGTGGAGAGTTCGATGAGCCTGCCGATTCTGCGTGCGTATCCGCTGCAAAGATGTGTAAGCGATGAGTTGAGTGGAAAGAAGAAAGAAGACACACCGCCCCTCCTTAGACCTATCCATCGCGTTAATCGTCCAAGTCATACCCTCCCGACAAGGT